GGGGGGGGGGTCATCAGATGACATTAAGCCAAGGCACCTAGAAATGCCAAACCCTAACCTCGCCCACAGCCACCTCTTGTAATGGACACTACCCCACCTGTGCCCTTTTAGCCCTATCTCAGTGCTGATCTTCTCATCATCCAGCTGCCACCACTCTATCTGAGAGGGTTTTCTGGCCACCAAAGCACGATCCCTTCGCGCGTGAGGCCAGCTGAAAGTTCGGGGCAATTAACACTCAATAAAACCTCAACTCAACTCCACCGGTAGAACTCTGGATGGAGACGGGGTGCCGCGTGTTCAGACGTCTAGAGACAGCCTGAAGGTAGGCTCTTGGGTTTTCCTACAACGATGTGCACAATCCCTGTATTATCGGTTAGAGAATAAGTAGCAGAAAGCCTGCACCTGACTTCTGTGCTACGCAGTCTCATTAAAAGCTTTAGTGCAAAAGGTAGTATTTATCGCAAGTGCCTAAAGGCACACTGACCGTTGCCTTAAGTTGCAGCCAGTGGATGTTGAATTTTTCACCTTTTTCACACACTGGCTTTGACTGAGCTGTGCTTCAATGTGACGGTAAAATGGTAATGCAGTTCTGTGATCCCTGCTTGTATTTCTTATAGGAGGGCTGATCACATCACGCGGATTCATAGGGATCTTGGCACAAGTGTTTTCAGGGGTTAAACCAGAGAAAGCTGTGTTCTGCTGAGCAACTGTGTATTCTCATCCTCTGTGAATTTTGTGAATGCAGACTTTCTCAAACCAGAATCCCCTTTATGGCGGTAGATTAAGGGTTGAAAATTGGAAGTCCCATTTAGAGATTGGGTCATGGTCAGAAATTACTTTTTGTTAATGCTTTTTATTTTATTTTATTATTTTTTTGAAGTTTATTTTAAGAGAGAGAGCGAGAAAGAGAACCAGCAGGGAAGGGGCAAAAAGGGAGACAGAAGATCCGAAGTGGGCTCTGTGCTGACAGCACGGGGCTCAAACTCCCAAACTGTGAGATCGTGACCTGAGCTGAAGTCGGACGCTTAACTGACTGAGCCACCCAGGTGCCCCTAATGCTCTTTAAATTAAATTTTAATAGTAATGTCCAAATAATACACAAACATAATTTAAAAAGTCAAATAATGCGGGGTGCCTGGGTGGCTCACTCAGTTGAGTGCCTGACTTTGGCTCAGGTCATGATCTCACGGTTCATGAGTTCGAGCCCTGCATCCAGCTCTGTGCTGACAGCTAAGAGCCTGGAGTTTGCTTAGGATTCTGTGTCTCCCTCTCTCTCTGCCCCTCCTCAGCTTGTGTGCTCTCTCTCAAATATAAACATTTAAAAAAAATTTTTAAGTCAAATAATACAATGACTCAGAGTGAGAAATAGCAGTCCCTTAACCCCTTCCTGATTCGCACTCCCAGAGACAACCATTTGAGGCTTTTTGGCTGTTTCTTCTGGTTTTTATTATTATTGTTTTATTATTATGACTATCCTAGTTCTAAATAGTTCACATAAGGGCACCTGGGTGGCTTAGTCAGTTGAGCGTCCAACTTCCGCCCAGGTCATGATCTCGCGGTCCGTGGGTTCAAGCCCCGCGTCGGGCTCTGTGCTGACAGCTCAGAGCCTGGAGCCTGTTTCCGATTCTGTGTCTCCCTCTCTCTCTGACCCTCCCCTGTTCATGCTCTGTCTCTCTCTGTCTCAAACATAAACAAACATTAAAAAATAAGTAGTTCACATACATTGCTAATTCTTTTTTCCCCCCCAATTTTAGGTAATTTTCTTTTTACTTCTTACTATGACTGACAAGGTCTTAAGGTTCTAACCCTGTTCCTTGCTGGGGTTTCCCCTTCGTCTCTCAATATAATTGTGCCACAATTGTCCATTGAAACAAGAGGAGTACTTCAGCGTTTTTCATGGCTAAGTAGTATGTGTAGTATCCTTTCCTTCCTCATCCAACTCTGTGTTCCCTGGAGTCTGATTCCTTTGTTGTGTTGCTTGGTTTCATTCACGGATTTCCATTCTCCGTAACTGTTCAGCCACCCAATACTTACACGCTGAGTAATTGCTTCCTCTTGAAGACAGACCCCCACCCCCATCCTGGATGCCACCGTGCTATTGTTCCCATTTGGGCCTCCCACCAGGAAGCAAAGATTTTAGGATTTCCCTTCACCACCAGGGATCCCCTCTATCCCTCCCATGTCGGGGGATCCCACATACTATTGAGGGATCCCACACACTTTTGCTTTCCTTTTTCTGGTTCACTCCCACGTCTGAATTTGGAGCGGGTTTTCCACTAGTTTCCTCAGAAAGAATGAAGAGGAGGTTAGTTTTTGGAGATCTGCCATTTCCGACGATACGTTTATTTTTCTGGAGGGATCATCTGACGTCAGCCAGCCTCTGACCCTGGAGGAGCAGCAGAGGACCTCAGAGTCCTCACTCCTCAGAAGAGAAGAGCCAGGCTCTGTTTTTCCCAAAGCCTACAGTCAGTGAGGTCACTCACCTCTGCTGAAACCAGGAGTGTTACAGGACTGGAGTTTCCCACTCCTGGAAGAAAACCTCAGATTTAGATTTTCTTTTTAATGTTTATTCACTTTTTGAGAGACCGAGTACAAGCAGGGGAGGGGCAGAGAGAGAGGGAGACACAGAATCTGAAGCAGGCTCCAGGCTCTGAGCTATCAGCACAGAGACCAACGCGGGGCTCAAACTCACAAACCACAAAATCAGGCCCTGAGCTGAAGTTGGACGTTTAACTGACTGAGCCACGCCGGTGCCCTGAAAACACCAGATTTAGAAAAGTAGCAGGTTCCCTGCTGGAAAGAATACTTTCCAGAGGTATTCTATCTGTATACAAGGAAATGTACATATGTCCCTTTTCTTAGTCTTGTTTTAACATATAGTAGCATTTTATTTGCAGCAATTTTTTTCTGGTATTCACCTTTTTAAAAATTGAAGTATAATTAACATACAATATTATATTAACTTCAGGTGTAAAATGTAATGATTCAACAATTCTATACATTACTCAGTGCTCATCGCGACAAGTGTATTTTTTTTTTTGTTTATTTTGAGACAGAGTGTGAATGAGCATGAGCAGGGGAGGGGCAGAGAGAGAGGGAAAGAAAGAATCCCAAGCAGGCTCCACACTGTCAGCACAGAGCCTGATGCGGGGCTCAAATCACTAACCATGAGATCATGACCTGAGCTGAAATCAGGAGTCAGACACTTAACCAACTGAGCCACCCTGGTGTCCCATGATAAGTGTACTCTTAATCCCCTTTATCTATTTCACTTATCACCCCCCACACGCCATCTTTCCTCTGGCAACCACCAGTTTGTTCTCTGTATTTAAGAGTCTGTTTTGAGTTTGTCTCTTTTTTTTGTTTCTTGGATTCCACATGAGTGAAATCATCTGGTATTTGTCCTTCTCTGACTTATTTCACTTAGCATAATACCCTCTAGGTCCATCCGTGCTGTTTGTTGCCCATGTCAAGAGTTCCTGCTTTTTTATGGCTGAGTAATATTCCATTGTCTATATGCCTATATCATCTATATCTCACGTCTTTATCCACTCATCTATTCTGTATATCTATAATCTATATACATCTATCCCACACTTTCTTTATCCATTCATCTATCTATGGACACTTGGGCTGCTTCTGTATCTTGGCTATTGTAAATAATGCTGCAATAAAGAGAGGGTGTATTTATCTTTTCAACTTCGTGTTTTCATTTCCTTTGGGTAATTATCTAGCCATGGAATGACTGCATCATAGGGTTAATTTCAATTTTTAACTTTTTGAGGAGCCTCCATACTGGTTTCCCATGGTATCTGTACCAATTTACATTTCTACTGACAGTGCACAAAGGTTCCTTTTTCTCCACATCCTTGCCAACACTTGTTATTTCTTGTGTTTTTTTTATTTAAGTCATTCTGACAAGTGTAAAGTGATGTCTCATTGTGGTTTTAATTTGCATTTCTCTGGTGATGAGTGATGTTGAGCATCTTTTCATGTGTCTGTTGGTCATTTGTAGGTCTTCTTTGGATAAATGTCTATTCAGGTCCCCTGCCCATTTTTTAGTTGGATTATGTGTGTGTGTGTTGAGTTATAGAAGTTCTTTATATATTTTAAATATTAACCCTTTATTGGATATGTTGTTTGCAAACATCTTCTCCCATTCAGTAGGTTGCCTTTTTGTTTTGCTGGTTTCCCTCACTGTGCAGAAGCTTTTTAGTTTGGTTTAGTCCCAACAAAGTAATTTTGTTTTTGTTTGCTTTACCTCAGGAGACCTATCTAGAAAAGTGTTTTTATGGCTGATGTAGAAGAATACATAGCCAGCAATTTCTTTGACAAGTTTTATGGCTTCAGGTCTCACATTTAAGTCTATAATCCATTTTGAGTTTATTTTTGTGTATGGTGGAAGAAAGTGGTCCCGTTTCATTCTTTTCCATGCTGCTGTCCACTTTTCCCAGCACCATTTATAGAAGAGATGGTATTTTCCCCTTGTACGTTCTTGCTTCATCAT